ACAGCTGGATTGAAAGTTTTCTTAATTTTCCTGGCATGTATCTTTATTTAAATCCTGGGCAAATATTGCTTTTTCTCCTTTGGATCATGTTGCTCACATAATTCAGTCAACTTATTTATTTCATGTATTTACCATGAAATAGTCTCAACAGTTTATGTGAAAAACCCAAACTAAAAAAAATTCAGGATAAAATTTAGTATCAGAGACAATTAAAACAAAATTATTTCCCTATCCAGATTCAATTAATCAATAAGAAATTTAAAAAAATCAAATAAAAATTACAGCATTTGCTGTAGTAATTAAGGTGTGGGGCTAGAAACCAGAAGACAGTGAGTTCTATTCCCACCTTAGGCATGAAAGCCATGTGATTTTGGGCCTGTCATTCTCTTATCCCAACCCACCTACAAGGTTGTTGTGGAGAAAAAGAAGAGAAGGTATATTATGAACGTTTGTTGCCTTGCGTTACTTATAAAGTAATAATGGCAAGATAAAAATCTAATAAGTATTTGCTTCTAAGTTTTAACTTATTCTGTATGCCAGAATCAAGGAGGGCGGGGAATAGGTTGTATTTCTAAGAACACCATCTTGAACATCCCAGCCATATAAATTCAATAAATAAATACCTAATTGTAAATATTTTTCAATTTATCTCTCAGAAAAGAAATGCCTGCCTGAAGCAGCTCTGGGTTGCACCAGGCCCAAGAATGCTCTTGTGTCATTTGGCAGCTTCTGAAAAGAGTAGAAAAGCACACCCCGTTGTCACAGGCCTTTGGGTGGATCTAGAGGCCATGTGAGAAAAGGCCCCTCTCACACAACTTCCAGAGGGTCCAGAGGCCAGGCAAAATACACCACATTCTTATTTGTCACCAAAAAATGACATGGGGGTCGCTTGTGACACACGTATCATAGGATTGCCATCACCATCCTAGAGGAAAAGACAAGATATAAATCTAATACATAACTGCCACTGGTTTCCCTATAGATTCCAGGGACTTTCTTCAGAAATAAAATGTTGTTTATGTCTTATGTGTGTGTGTTTAATTAAGAATTAAATAATAAAATCTTGGAGGAAGACTAGATGAAAATAATTATAAACAAGCCAGAGGAAAATATAAATGTGATGACTGAATACCAGATAAATTAGAAAGGAAATATGATTGAATAATGATTAAAGAGAAACAATGTGGAATTTGGTAAAGGGAATTTACGTGTTTATATGGAAATGGGATAAATTATAAGTACGTGATATAAAGCAATATGTTACCTGCCTTGTAAAAATCTACAATGGAAAGAGGTTTTATGTTTTTAATGTTTAATGATGTTTTGTTTTGTTTGTTTGTTTGTAAAATCAATAAAACTTGTTTTTTTTAAAAAAAAGAAATAAAATGTTGTGAGAACCTGCAATAGATTATCCTTCCCCCTCCTCCCGGGGGAAGGGGAGGGCCACATCATCTAGGATAGGAAGGACAGCCTTTAAAAAACACCATCCTCTAGAAGATACAGAAATTTTTTCTGAGCATGTGCATGAGATGTTCTCTAATGCTAAGTGTATTTGGCCCTGGAAGGTTAGGGCCTTAGCTTTAGACTGTCACTGTTTGCCTTCAGTTCAGCTGCGCTATCACTAGACTGAAATATAATGCAACATAAACAGCAGCCTTCCTAATGCTGTATTAGTCACTGCAGCCTTCTTTCTTCCATCTCAGGCAAATCTGAGACTTCAGCTGTCCAGAATAAATTAAAGAAAAGACATAAAATGTTTACCAATGAAGCCTTAGCAGTATGAAAGTTTTCCTTTCTAAAATGTTGCCTGGCCTGAGAAAGACAAGGAATAAGGAAACTACCAGAAAAGCTTGTATTTTTCTGTTGTCTACAAATACAAGAAACTGGAATTGTAGGGAACTCTACACTAGTAAAAAGCTGTTAATATAATACAATCCTTCTTGAAATGTTGTAGAGTTGAGGATCAAGAAACAAACTGCATTAACCTCTTGAATGTATTTTATTTTTCAGCTGTTATAAAGAGCCAATTATTGCTATTTCCACAGGACACAAATGCCCAGCGAACTCAAGAAGCAAGGCCAGCTCTGCCCAAAAGAACTATAGTTGTATAAGTGACTGTGCCATTAACCTCAATAATAATTTGTGGGTTTGTGGTTTTTTTAAAAAAAAAAACAGTAACATATAAAAAGTGCAAGAATATTAATTTCTTTATTTAGAAATAATAAAATAAGACATAATATATATAAAAATATGTACAGTCCATGAATTGTGCAGTACATTAGGAAGACTTTGATACAAAAGGCTGCAATTGGGGAAATCGTAAGGGAGAAGGATTGTCAAATGCCTATAGTTTTGTTCACCTTACAAACAGCTGCAGGACAGAAATCCTTTTATGAGAAGAAAAAAAGGAGTTCTCTCAGGTTGCCCGTGGGATGGCAACTACGCAGCCCTCTGCTACTTGAAAACAGTTAACAGCAGCCAACATTTTTTTTCCCCAAAAGACGTTACAGTACTTCTCAGTTTTACCTTGTTAATTCCCCCCAACACACACACACACACACACACACACACAAATGGACATAAGAGGACAAAATAACCACTTCAGAACCCTTGGTTTTGGCCAAAAGCATATGCAAGAGATGGAAGCGCAACTGTGGTTTTACTACGTCTTAGCCCCCAACCAAAATACAGAGTGAGCTTACTGAATTTTTTTCATATTTAATCTTGAATGCCAGACTACAGAGGAGTATGGTAGCAATAAAAATTCATCCTCTCTCTCTCTCACTCTCTCTCTCTTGAGCATGTCTTGAGTAAAACAGATCCGTATATGAAGGGCCCCCATTCAAGTATTTTTGGCTTTCTTTTTTTCAGGGAATAGGAAAATTACTGTTTATCCCTGACCTCATGTTTGCAGCCTGGCGACTTGAGTGAGCAATTCACATTCCAGCAAAATCAGTAGGAAATTTCCCATCAGTGTTAAGTGGTCAATGATTGCATCACAGATCTATATTATCTCAACTCTCTGAACAACTGCCCTTTAGGATTAGGCATAATTGCCCTTATTATGAAAATAACAAATTTGTATATCTTCAGAAGGATCATGGGACCCAGACTACATCTCCTCAGGCATGCTTTTGTTTTATTTTAAAAATAATTATAGAGACATGTTAGGGCCATTAGGTACCATGATGTAAGAACTTTCTTTGGAGCAATTCCCCTCCCCCTCCCCCTCCCCCACAGAGAGAGAGAGAGAGAGAGAGAGAGAGAGAGAGAGAGAAAGACACATACACAAGGAAAGACAAAAGGGTTGCTTGAAGAAAAAAATTATAATCCAACAAAGAGTGCAACTGATTATTCACTCTCATCAAGTCTCCAGCAATCTGACAGGAAAAAAATGCCAATAGCAAGGGAAAAAAAACACAACAAAGTAAAACATCCATGTCTAAATAAATAACAAAAAAACTCATTGCATTAGAAACCCCATAAGGCTTGTAAATATTTGCTAAAAACCATGCTAACCAGTAGCATCGTAGGTTCTAAATGATGCCAACTTGACCTTATCTCCTGCCATTTTTTTCTTTTTTTAAATGGACTTCTATTTACATTTGGCTTTAAATATGAAAAAATACTTGATAAACTTTATAAAAATGTACATTTGTTTTTAAAAATTTGAAAACATAAAACCCTGCATCTTGGAAATCTCAATTCTGCGCCAAAAAAGAACATTTAATGATTTTTAGAAAAATCCCTTTCTGAGTGTGTTTGTTTTAAAAATGAATATATATTCAACACTTTGTCAACCCACCCCTCCACTTAATGCCTCAAGTTCTGCAAGTGGGAACTTTGTGCATTTTGGAGTAACTTCCTCCTCACTTTGTTTAACATATTACTAAATACTCTTTGGTTTGCACTTTATTTTCCTTTGCAAAAATATATATCATGATAGCAGCACAAATCACCTTCAATTGCTTTTTATTTATTTCCCTGACTGAGCTCCAATCAGGTTGCCATGCGGATTTAACTCTCTCCATGGAGCGTGGTTGTTTTCTTAAAGAGTTTAGCCTCAGTCTATGGTATAGAAACAATATTTGGATAAAGAGGAAGAGCAAAAACCTTTCTCGAGTTTCAAATCCATCTACTCTGCTTAAATTCCATCCTCTCTGGGAAAATGCCACCGTCTCCAGATAGAGTAATCGGGACACCCAAACCTCGCTGGAGCTCTGTTTTAGTCAACAGTACTAGACCCAGAACAAGCTATTTTTAATGGCATACAGTGAGATTCAATACTGTAAAAGAATCTGGAGTGTGATCCCTTCGTGACACCCTTCTTCTCGGCCTTTGGAGAGGACTTTAAGGGGGCAGCTAAATGGGTACACTTGATCTTAGAGGCACAGATAAGTGTTACAGCATTCTTGGCCAGGGACTCAAAAAATACCATGAAAGTCATGGCTCAAAGGCTTTGGTAGAGCTACTGCACCCACTGATCACCCTAAGACGTATCACTCATTAAACCCCAAAACAAGGGGAAATCTTTTACAGTATTGTTCACTTCAAATGAATGTTCCCTTGAGCAGAACAGAACAGCACACAGTCATTTTCTGTTCTCCTATTCTGGTAAGGGGAAGTTATGCCAAAAAATCACACAAAACCACTGCATGGCGATCCTTGCATCAGATTATTCCATCAGTTTCTTTTCTCCCCTGAGACCCTGCGGCAACTGTGCTCCTAGTACTTAAGCTAACCTACCATGGCTGAACAAACGCTTTGCCAGTCTTTGCCAATGTAACTTAGACAGAGTATAACTCTACCCTTGTAATGGTTACATGTAACGGTTCATTTCCCTTAAATGCCAGTCTGCTTCTATTATAGGCTTACATCCTAGACCTTACTTTGGAATGTATGCATTCATCTTCATGCTTAATCTTCAATGTTATGCCACAGTTTTCTGGTATTTAACAAACAGGAAAGAACAGGTGTTTCCTTTCCTTGACTCAACCTTTTTTTTTCTTTTCCTTTAAAAAAAATCAGAAGCTCATCTATCTACCTATATCTAGATTTGTTACCTGTCACAATCAAGCAACTCTTGGTGGTGTTATTTCCCTAAACCAGGGCAATGGAGCAAAAAAAAAAAAAAAAGGGACTGTTAATTGTACTCTAAACTTGACTTTTGGAATAAGGTGCAGTTAAAAAAAATACACACGTGAAGGACCTGAAAGGGAGGAAAAATAGTCTGAAAGCAGCCTGTTCTATTTAAATAAAAAATCCACTGTGCAAAAGTGTGCATTTTTTTTCTTTGGTATTCACTAAGGTAGTTTGGAAATCAAAACATATATTGGGTGAAATGAATCTCATGCCATTTCCAAGCACTATTTAAAAAAAAATAGCTTGCTATAGGCTACTGCATGACCTTGTGTTACATAAGAATTTTCCTGTAACTGGATAGTCGGGGAGAGAAATTGATTCTAGGTACTGAACTACTGGCCTCAACCGACAGATTTCCTAGTTCACCAGTCGCTTGATTGATGGACAGAGCTTTCAAATAAACAAATTCAGGACTGGGGGGGGTTCTCCTCTTTTTTCTCTGTTTGATACACACACACATATATATAAAAGGAAACAAGTATTAAACTGTGACAAAAATAATTACAGTTTGTGTTCAAGTAGTTAGCAGCAATTTTTAAAAGGAAAAAGAAAAACCCAAGGCAGACTCTTGCCTTGGTTATGCCATTAAAAATATTCTTGTTCCCAAGGGAGAAGCATTGGGGGAAGAAAAACCATGGATAACAAACAATAGAGCTCGACCAAAGCTTGCCTGCAAGTTCAAGTTTTGTAAAAAAATATATACATAATTTATTCTACAACATATGTGCCTTTTAGCAATTAATAGACATAGTGCTTCAGGTTCCAAGTTCATGCCTTGCTGTACCTACTCTGAAGACAGCACTTGAAAACCAGCTCAGGGTTTTGACTCCTTAGGGCTGCTTGCCCATCCGTGTCCAACAGTACCATCAGCTGAAAACCTGTTTGCAGCCACTTCTCAATGCAGCATGCCCGTTATGGTGAAATACATTTTAAACATTGCAGAACGTATTCTCCCTACCCCCAGTCATATTTCAGACTCTCGCCTCAAAGGTCTTGGTTCTAGGGGCACCCCTGCTTGGCTAAGATGGTCCATTTCTGGATGAGTATCTGTACTCGTGCTCTCAGGCACCCCATTGTCACTATCCTCTTCCTCTTTGCCCGCAAGGGCAACTTCATTCTCATAGCAAAATGAATTTGCATTCGAGAGGATATATTTTTTCTCAGCTAAGTCTCTGGCACTGCAAAGGGGTGTGTTCGGCACTTCGTATGTTTTGTGGAACCTGGAGTAATCCACTTTGTAGTAGCTCTTTTCTTCAAATAGGACTGGCTCATAGCGATGGCCCCACAGGATTTCATTTGCTAGATATGAGCTACGGCACTGAGTGGTCATAGCGGTGGCTTCCACCATGCCCTCCAGTATCACTACAATTTCAAAGTCTGCATTGTCCATATCTTGCTTGCTTAAGTCATATAAAGGGCTCTCTTCATCTATTTCGTGGACAATTGTAATGGGCGAGACCAAAAATATACGGTCTATCCCACTGTCAAACCCAACATTGATGTCTATTTGATCCAGAGGGATATATTCTCCTTCAGTGGTGATCCGGGATTTGAGGAGCTGAGCTCTCACGTGTGCCTCCACCAAGTGGCTTTTGCGCAGATTGCCAACCCTCCACATCAAGCAAAGTTTTCCGTCTCTCATGGCTACCACAGCATTGTGACTGAAGATGAGAGTTTCGTTTCTCTTTTTGGGTTTCGCCATCTTAGCCATGACAGCGCCAATGATGAAGGCATCAATGATGCAGCCAACTATTGATTGGAAAACCACCATGAAGACTGCAATAGGGCACTCATCTGTGACACACCTGAAGCCATAGCCGATAGTGGTCTGTGTTTCAATGGAGAACAGAAAGGCTGCGGTAAAGCTGCGCACCTCAGACACACAAGGTTTGTCCGTTTCCTCTAGGTCCCCATGCAATAAGGCAATCAACCAAAATACACAACCAAAGAAGAGCCAGGAGAGGATGAAAGCCAGACAGAAGATAAGCAACATCCATCTCCAGCGGATGTCGACGCAGGTGGTAAAGATGTCTGCTAGGTACCGCTGACCTTTTTCACCCACATTAATGAACTGGACGTTGCAATGGCCATCCTTCTTGACAAACCGGCTCCTGCATTGTTGCCTGGTGTGTACTTTGCTCTTCCCATTCCCAAAACCGTTGGCCACTGCCATAGTTGCCAGCTTCATACCATCCTCTTCCGAGGAAACGATGCTATAGCGGTTGGTTCGCACGCTGCCCATCGCTTCCGATGTGGACTCTGGTGCTTCTGCTTTAGAAAACAGTCTGAGTTTCTGCAGAACTCTTTGGAGAAACAGTTTTGAATGTTCTTGTGAACACACTCAGATGAAAAAAAATGAGGGAGAAGCTGGTGCCTCCGTCAACACTTGACTTTGCCAAGGAGAACCTTGTGATAGTCACAGTTGATCATCTACCAGGAAGAGACATGACCTGTAATAAGAGGGAAAAAAGAATCAGCAAATGCTTGAAACAACTCTCTCTTTCTTTCTCATCCCCCCAATTCTTTTTTTTATTCCTAGCATGCTCAATTTTGTTTAGTCAAGGAGCACATAATTTATTCAGTGGTAATTTAGCATAGCTGTAGAATCAAACTCTTCTGAAAAGAAAAATCAACATCAAATATCCTGAACACAGCATCTATGTCCTTGCAAAATACACAGATCGAATGTTTGTATTTTTAAAAAGTACCATAATGGTATTATTCTAAAATTATATATGTCTCAGAAAGTGTTAGAGATGCCATCTAATTCCTGTTTGCAAAACAAGACAGCAAGCCTTTTGAAATCATTCAGCATGGGATTATTCTGATAGCATTTTGGCTTTGGAGGTTCAGCTTGTCAGATCTGGCTTAAGACTGCTAGAAACCTTTCAAGTGATTTCAAAGGGAATTCTTTCTTAAAGACCAAATATTACACTGCAACCCATATCCCTTGCCAAGTTTTCTGCTTTCACACAACATTGAAATTTTGGAATAGAAAACTTTTGTTTCTTGTTTTACTCCATTTTCAACAGTTTGATTTCCCTTTTGAAAGCTTTTTCTTAAAGAGTATTAGAAAGCAATAACTGAATATTATTTTTTATTATTTTCGTGAAACTCTATTTTGATTGTGAAAACAAAGTAGTTTCATGGTAGCTATTTTAATGGAATGAAAACTACAAAATGTATTGGAAATGCAGTAAATATTTAATGGAAACCTGAACAAGACCCAAGAATAACTTTATGAAGGGAAGAATGTATCTTTTAATCACTTGCATTTTTAAGCCAATGGGTATAACTGAATAAGCATGTATCCTTTGCCGTCCACGCAAAATAGATGGGTGGGTGAGTGCAAGAGTGGGTGGATGAGTAGATAGATAGATAGATAGATAGATAGATAGATAGATAG